ACAACTCTTGTTCATGTGGAGTTTTAGTCGAAGCGCACTAAGCGCAGCCGTAGATTGAATGTGTATGTGCAGAGGTGTCAATCCAAGTATAGCCTCAAGTGCTGCAGTTGGACTTGTCCTCATAGCACCAGTCATTAAGAGACACGCTAATCTCTGGAGCTTCATGCAAACAGCAATAGATCCAGCCTGTGTGACCTTTTGCCACCAAACCAGGCAACCATATGTCATGATAGGACGTACTACTGCCTGATATATCCAAAATATAATCTTTGGGTTTAGGCCCCAAGTTTTACCTATACAGGACCGTATTGTCCATAAAGCCGTTAATGCTTTGTTATATACTTTATTTAAGTGTGAACTCCAAGTGAGTTTACCATCTAGGACAACACCTAGGTACTTTGTTTCACTGGAAAGAGAAATATTAGTGTTTCCTAAACGTACGGGACCTATGTCTAGTTTACGTTTGAGTGTGAAAGGCACAACAACAGTTTTCTCCGGATTTATGGAGAGACCCTCACTTTCGCACCACGCTAAAATGCGTCGAAGGTACCCTACCAAGATCTCTGATAGACTGCTACCATGCTTTCCAGATACTATTATAACTAGATCGTCTGCATACCCAATGGCGTCACAACCAATATTCTCCAACAAGATTAAAAGTTCATCAACAACCACTGACCAGAGCAAAGGAGACAGTACTCCACCCTGTGGGCAACCTTTTGCGGCCTCAACAGCTACAGACGTTCTACCTAAGGTTGATGTAATTTTTCTGTTTTGAAGCATCGCCTCAATCCAGGAAATAACATTGAAATCAACATTTCTGTTAGTTAAGGCATTCGAGATCGAGCCATAACTCGTATTGTCGAAAGCTCCTTCAATATCCAGAAATGCACAAAGCGCAATTTCTTTGTTTTTGTGGGCCTTTTCAATTTTACTGACCAAGTTATGTAAGGCCAATTCGGTAGATTTCCCTTTGGAATAAGCGAATTGAGTTTTGTGAAGAGGTTGACTTTTAGACAGTTCTGTACGAATATAGATATCTATGAGTCTTTCCATAGTTTTCAGGAGGAAGGATGAGAGACTAATCGGTCTATACGATTTAGCGTCATCACTTGGTCTATTACCATTTTTTGGTATAAATACCACTTTCACTTCTCTCCAAGCTTCAGGTATATGTTTCCAGCAAAGGCTAGCCCTAAAAAGCACCTTTAAAGGATTGATAAGAACGTCTATGCCGTTTTGTATAAGTGCCGGGAAGATACCATCACTTCCTGGTGACTTGAAAGGACTGAAAGAATTAACTGCCCATCTGATTTTATCAATGTCAAAAATGATACCAGATAGCGACATTAAACGATTGTCTGGTTGTTCATAACTTAACGTGCGCCTATCTATGGATGCATCACATAAGATCGATCCTGGAAAGTGCACATGTAGTAAATGTTGTAAAGTTTCCCTGCCATTTGCTGTGTAGAGACCATCATTCTTTTTCAATAGACCAATGTCATTTGAAAGAGACTTTCTCAACACTTTATGAAGGCGAGCCATTTGCGGAGTGTTGTCAACACCGTCACAGAAAGTTTTCCATGATTTCCGTTTAGATTTTCTAATCTCATTGTTGTAGGCAGTCAAGGATGTTTTATAGTCGACCCACACCTCTGATCGCTTTGCTAAATTAAAAAGCTTCCTAACCTCCCTGCGCATTTCTTCGAGCCTTTTGTTCCACCATGGCACATCCCGTCTGGATGTACGTGGTTCAACCTTACATGCATCTTCATGCGCCTGAGAGATAACAGAGTTTATTTGATCTGCAGCTAATTCAAGTTCATCAATATGACTGATTGAATTCAGTAACTGGTCCTCCTTACTAGCTAAGGATAGTCTAAAGATTTCCCAGTTGATACACTTACGTGCAGCTGGCAAATTTTTATGTAAAAAGTGACCCGGCAGTTCAAAAAGAATATGTTGGTGGTCAGATAAAGAAACCTCCTTTGAGACCCTCCAATTAACAACATAATTGGAGATAAATTGACTAGAAAGAGTAAGGTCAAGAACCTCTCTTCTAATGGCATTAATAAAAGTGGGTTCAGAACCATTGTTCAATATGCTGACGTTATTACTACTAAAGTATTCTAAAAGCATTTGCCCTCTTCTATTTATGTTAGTACTACCCCATAAGGTATGGTGCGCGTTTGCGTCGCAACCAATTATAAATTGTAAATTATTGGATTTGCAATAACTTGCCAAGTTTGTGACTGCTTCAGGTGGTGCTTCATCTGCATCGCCTGGAAAGTAGGCCGATGCGATCACGATCTCTCGTGTTCCGCACTCCGTCGGGATCTCAAAAATGGCCGACACCAAGTCCCTCTGGATGAAATCTGGAATTGGAATACAGTTAACATTTTTGTTTACTAGTATAGCAGTTCTAGGCGACTCTATGTCACGTTTATATATCAACTTACTTGATTGATGTTGAAGGCCTTTTATATGCCCACCGACTGTCCATGGCTCCTGGATAAACGCTATGGCCAGTCCTTTTGTGGCGAAGGTCCTGCACAAGGTAGCCGATGCTCCTTTCGCGTGGTGCAGGTTCGCCTGTAACACCCCTATGGTGCTCATTTTTGTTGAGTTTTATTGAGAGAGCGTTCGACTTCCTTTTGAAGTCGAGCTCTTCGTGGCCCTTTTTCCTTCTGGCGCTCTTTTGGAGCTGTTGATGCTCCACCCACAGGTGGCCGCATCCAAAGCCTTTTTTGAATGGCGGCTCTACTAGTAGTTGGGGCCTCATTTGGATTCACAATAGACGTAAGTGTTGATTGTGGGACCACGTGCTCCACTTTCTGTTTCTCCGTCCTTGTGATCTGGAGTTTATTTGGAACCTTTTGTTCCACAGGCCGTTGTTCTGGCTGCCCCTCCTTTGTCATACTGTTAGTTTTAAGCAGTAGCTTGACATGGCTGAAGCGATATGCAATTCTACCTCCACTCTGGACCAGTGAGTTCCAGGATGCATCGTCGACAGCAAAGACGATGTGGAGCAGTGAACCTTCTGCGGTCCGCTGTAATACCTTCCAGGTGCTTGCTTTAATCCTGTTCTGGGCCTCAATTGTGGCAAGAACCTTGGTATTTTCAAAATCGCAACTGTGTGGGAAGTATCCTCGCACCAGATGTGTTTTTGGAAACTCCGACTCTTCAACCACTTTGGCGCCCAGTTTAGCCTTTGTTGCAATAGCTGCCGCATTTTTACGGACCCATTCAGCCGTTTGGTTATTTGTGCACACCATCATGAGCCATCCCGTACGAGGGAAACAACCTTCAAATTCTGGTTTAACCTCGTCAGACGCCAACTCTATGGCAGTCTCAATTATAGCCTCCTGTAGGTGTGCAGTCTGTTCCCTGTTTAGGGGGCACTTAGCCAAATCAAAAGGAACAAATCCTAATTTGATCCCCTTGGCCTGA